TGGGATGCACCTGATATCTAATATTTTTGCTTTGGTGAAACAACCTTTTCAGAATGATCTCTAAAATAATTATGGGACTCATTGTTAACATGCTGGAGCTGCAATTATCACCCTTACATCAACAGCCTTGGAAGGGGCAATATTGCAAACTTATATTACAGGAAGAGCTCCTTGTTTTGCCTATCAAACTTATGAAAGAAGACATGTACAATAAAACACTCACATGTAAAACTCAAACATGTGTAAAAAGCTACACGCACTCTTTTAAAATATGAGTGGGCCTTTTTTTCCCCCTGGTCTGTCTCTGCAGCTTTCCCATGGCCTATACCTACAATTCTGCATGTAATCATCATTCCTGGGTTAATTTCGAAAACAGTTCTAATTCTTACAGCAGCCAGTCAGAGTTTGGATGTTCATATAATGCAGCTTATCAGTTTGCTGTAATCCTGGCAGAAGACTACCTATGTGGTCTGTAAAGGCAAGCCTCCACTCCATAATATTGGGTAGCACTGCTTTTGGATTTGGGTAGTTTGCTAACAATAGGCATATGTATGTCCTACAGTTTCCCCTTTGGCTCAGTACTGCCGATCTAAGGACCAGTACTCTAGCAGCTCAATTTAGACCCTGCGGTCTGCTGTGCATTTTGTAATTGGTCATCCTTGCCCCTGCATATTGATTGACATTAGAGGGCTAGTGTTTCCAGCCTGTCCACTGTACTGGAGAATATGAATGCAGAAAAAAATATGAATAGAGCCATTGCTGGGAAATGGTGTTTGTATTGCTGCTTTGTTATCTCTCCCATACAGTGACAGCATTTGAAAGCCAAAGATGTTGCAGAAAAGCATGTCTGAGTTTTTGGTATATGGAGAAAACTAGCGGTGCACTGAAATGGAATTTTCAGACCGAATTCGAAAATAAAAAACTTGTCAGGCTGAAACCGAAAATTATGGGGGGGGTTTCTAACTTTACTGTTGGGGAGCTCTGATATTTCCCTTTTGAAATAGAAAAAGAGATTGAGGACACATAAATCTCTAGATTGAAGGTGTATATTGCTCTGTAGCTAATTTTGTTATTTTATCTTTTAATGGAGTATTTATTTTTTGGCTGGATTTATTTTTTTTATTATTATCTTCAGTTGTGTTTCTTATACTGGTGTTGGGTGAGGCAGATGTTTAGATGTAGCAGACTACAGTTGCGTTTACATTGTAGCACAGGGAAATCTGGATAGAGCTCTAGTGCCTTGGGACTAAGGGCACATTTACGGTTTCACAGGTTTATGTTATTAGAAGTGGAGATGTGACACCGGCTACAGCCATTTACTTTAATGAACGGCAATTTTTAAATCTCTCCAGACAATAGTGGATAGAGAAGTCTAAAGTGCCGCTTGAAAAAACACCTCTGCAAGATTCCTTGGCTCTCCCTGTGCATTGTCAGATATATGGGGAGGTTTAGCATTCCAGGAGTTCTTAAAGATAACTGGGAACAAGGTTAGCGGTTTGGTTTTTTGGCATCCTACATTTTGGAGGCAGCCAGTGTAGTGATTGATTTGTTTGATATGGGAGTAGCAGATTTATATAGTAGCAGGGTATCTGCATTTTTTGAAGTGATTCAGTCAATGTAACCCTCTTAGGAACACCTTGATACATGGAAATGCAATAAGTGTGACTAGATGATTGACGGTATCTGGGCTATAAACTCAGATGACTATGTAATTCAAAGTGTAACCACAGGCAAAATGAAAACTGACATGTATGATGCAGTCTATAACTGGCAATAACACAGCAGTTTTTGTTTTCTAAGTCCACTGTGTGACATTCTGTCTGATTCTGCCAGAAGATCCATTATCGTTCCATTAACTATAACAGGCCAAACTGTTCTGCAAAAGGGGCAGTTACATTTACAAGTCCCTGTCACAGGATCCCTGCGCATATCCCCTGCTGATCAGAGTAGTACGAAAAGGATGTCATTCTTGTGATATCCATGTCCATTCAGCTTTTTCAACGGAGGAAAAAACTAAACTAACCGGACCCATGTTGGGTGTATGAGAAGTCAGATATCATTGGACATGTGAAAAACTGGCGCAGCTTTCTTTATTTTTGGTTTACATACAATTTAAGGGGGTCATTTATAAAAGTCATGTTGAAGCAAGAATAGGAATTTCCTATAGTCATCAGCAACATCTAGAGCAGGCATGGGCATTTATCTGGCCCTTTGTCTGTCCCTATCCCTTTCACGGACCTATCATCAACACACACTCGGTTATGCCTGGCAAGTTTCTCATGTGGCCCTTCAAGAAAATTAATTGCCCACCCTTGATCTAGGGGCACTAGTGCAGTGCAAACTTTTATAAACGAACCCCTATGTGTGTGCTTAGTTTTTCTGTAGGTTTCTGCACCTATTTTTTTCTTTTTTGTTCTGTAGCCTCTGGTTCACTGGTGAAATATTTGTTTCTCAGGGTTTGTTCACACTAGTAGTGTGTTCATGGTTTTTTGTTGCAGACAAAATGCAGAGATTTAGCGAAAAACATCTGTTGTTTTCAATAGGGAACATGCAAGCCATTATGATAAATAAAGATGCAAACAGTCCCGCATGTAGCATTTTATTTTTCTTGGTGCTTTGACCTGCACCATTTAATCAGTTTTGTGGAATCCTTTACAACTTGCATAAAACAGATCCAAAAATACCTCTAGAACGTACTTGCGTTAACACTTATACCCATGACTTCAGTGTGAATCAGCTCTTATTCTGGTTTAATATTAGCCAGCTTATACTTAACCATCCAATTATACTTACCCAAAACAGGAAATGCGTACTAAAAATGCTCTTGGTGCCCAGTAAATCATTTACTGGAGTTAGGGGGAAAAAAAACAAAGATTCCTAGTGTTATTTACATAACCATGTACGTAGAATATCGTGGGTTTGCAAAGAATATCCTGTTTATTAGTCAATATAAACAGCTTTTCTTCAGCCATTTAAAGCTTTCACCCCCTTCATGACTGAACTTTTTTAGTATATGTTCATTAATGACTGAAAGCACGTTTTACATTTTTGCTGTGTGATTCTTCCACGGCAGTAATATATTTTCTTACTGAGTGCACCAACACTGAATAAATATTGTTTTTTAGAGAACAGATAGGGCTATATATTTATATTGCATATGTGTGCCTAACGCCTCACTTAGTACAAATAAAATATAAAAAAAATTAGAAAAAAAGGTAAAGAAAACACTTTCTCCGCAGTTTTGATTATTATTATTTTTTTTTAAAAATAGCACAGCTAAAAAAAAAATGCATTAAAATACATTCATTTATTTGTCCTTTATTTAGAAACACCTCACATCCCTTGGATTTGAGAAAATTGTCTGTACTTTTCAGCCTAAAACTAAAAGCTAACATTTAATTTTAGGTTAGTGGCATACAATGTCACTGTCACTAATGCTTACATTTAGGGACAGCAACATACATTGAATATTGTCATCATGAGGGGGTTACATTAAAACAAATCAACCCCTTAGGGTGAAAAACAAACCTACAGCTCAGCTGCAGATTTTCATTGTTAATGGATCTCACTATGACTACTTGATAATTTAATGATTTTTAAACATTTTTGGTTATTATTAGGCTGCTCCAAACTTAGGAACAGCCAATAAAACCTTAGTGACTGAACCTGAAAAGCTGATCCTGCAGCATGTCAGGGTCAGATCTCACTAAAGACTTCTGATTGTTCCCAGAACGATCAGAAGCCTCATACAATGTTTCAACATAGAAACATTTTGCTTAATGTTTCTATTGCTGAAACATTTAGCAAAAAACTGATACACAGCGGGATTTCCTAATCTCTGTGTGTTCAGCTGTTAAACAGTCATAGTAAGCGCGGTAAATACCGCACAGCTATTACTTTGAGATACCTGATCGCTACAAGCAATCGGGTATATGTCAAAGCTTAATTCTTTCATTAAAAGAGAACTATGGGGTAACCTTTTTTTTCCCCTATAGTTCCCTTTGGTGTCACAGGAAAACATATACCAACGTCCTCCCCAAAACTCAGTATATACTCATAGAGGGGAGGGGGCGAATCCCTGTGAGGAGCTGTGACTATCAGACTGCAGGGAGATTATCGGGGAGTGAGTGAGCGGCGGTATGTTTTCGCTCACTTTACGATCAATAGAGATGACGTGTGACAGTTTCAATGTCACATGTGGGCTCTAACTATGGGGAATGAGTGTAATTCACTCACCCCATAGTTTAACTTTAATGAAATAATCAAGCTTTTACCAACGCTTCATTCTTTCATTAATGGATGCCTCAATACTGAGGCATCCATTAATGAACGGTAACCGATGATCTCAGCGGTTACCGGCTTTTGACAGCTCCAACTAAAAGCTTACGTACAGCGCACAAGAGCAGTCATTTGGGGACATACAGTGTCCCTGAAGGGGTTAATTTAAAATGGCTTTTTAGCACAAATTTAGCACAAATCAAGAGCCCCTCAATACAAGTAAATATACAGTCCACAGGGAAGAGGCCTCACTAGCCAAGAAAGGGGACGCTGTACATCCCAGTGGTCGAGCCTCCAATTGGTTCTCATGTGCGCCATTAACACTGTATCCATGGGCTGATGGAACCTCCTACAAATACTTGACCTAGCTAGTTAACCCCCTTCCTCTCCAGTGACCCTAAAAGGGCCCACAGCATAGGGATTAGGTCATAGTTTATCGTTTGAAGATTTTACCATTATTTAAGTTGCCTTCATGTGTCTTTTTGCCATGTGCAAACTTGATAAATACTGGTATAATGTTGTCATATCTTACTTGTTTCACATGTATAGGTTGATCTACTACCTTCTATTTACTTGTTGTGGCCTTATGAAGGACAGGGCATGTCTGAAACTGTTGCCTTTGCTACTTTTCATCAGAAGCTTGAATAAATGTTGTGTGCTGCAACCTGTTGCCTGGACTCTCTGACTTTTTTTCATTCACTTTATTTGTGTCTGTCTTTTAGTGGCTTTGAAGGCAAAAGATTTCCAATTGACATTTCCGTGAGTCAATCAGCTTTGCAAATCCAGTCTCCGGATAATTGTGACAGGCTTCATCTGCCGCAAGAGGTGAAGCTGGTTCCTTCAACGTGTAGATATGTGCAGCACATCTCTGGGGAAGGGTTGCATGTAAGGATGAAGGCTCGTGTTGACTGCAAAACAGGTACTGGCTTTGTAAAATAGTGTGGGGGGGAAAAGAACTGAAAATGCATTATTGAAAACTTAATCCAATACCCAAAAATCATACTGGCAAATACTCTTAGGCCCCATTCACACTGAGCGACTTGTGATATTGAGCGACTTTTTCCTGTTGGGCTGTATGCAATCAGGTGCAAAATCGCTCGAAAAAAGGGTCATGTAGGAGCTACAAGCGATATTGAGCGATATTGCAGCGACGAGATGTGAACAGCTCCATTGAAATGGATTGGAGAAGCTACATAAAGCGATATTGCGTGGAAATATGAGCGATATCGCTGCAAAAATCACTCGATAAATTGCTCAGTGTGAATGGGGCCTTACAGTTCTAAAGAGTGTTGTGTGCTTTTATATGACAGCAGTGTTTATATAAAGGCAGGGATGAACAATGAGTGTGTCTGACCTATTGAACCAAACATTTGTCTGTAGGAGTGGATCGGTAAGGTATTTAAAAAAAAAAAAAAATCAGTTCAATATTATGCATTATTTAATTGAAAATAACCTTTTCTTGAGCTCGGCATCCACACATTTCAATGTAAAGGTACTATAGGTTTATAATTTATGTAAAAACAAGTACAATATTTAGTCTGTATGCAAGCAGATCTCACAAGGAAAGTTCTCTATTCAGATTTGTTTTTATATTCAGTCATGAAACACTCAAAGGGGACCTGTACTAAAAGAAATATGTAGGCTGCCATTGCTTAACTCCTGAAAAATAGTTGCCTGACATTCTTGGACTTTATGAGGGAACATATGGTTAAGCCAGAAAGGAATATACATTTTCATGGCCATGCTGCAAATTGTATTTTGACATGAAATATGCTTGTACATAAAGAGATTTGATTAAGACCTTGATATACAAATTATTTCCCTGGCAACTACAAGCAGAATTATTCTTCATTGTCATGTCCACCTAATTTTTTTACTGGGTATAAAGAAGGAGTTACGTGAATTCCAGCATTTAAAGGAAGTGATTGTTCTCTGCAAGGGCTGCAGAACCTATACTTATAACAAGGACAGCGCCATGTAGTGGCAAAGGAAAGCATAGCGCCATGTAGTGGCAAAGGAAAGCATACTCACATTTGTTGGGAAGAAAGGGAACCTAGGTTTTAGTCTCTGTATGATTTAGAGCTGCCTGTCTACATTGAGGTGCAGAGGAGGAAGGGGAATTATAGAGACAGGCTGGATTTTTTAGCTTTTCTGCATCTTAGTAACTGTTAAAGCATTGGGGATCCTGAAAACATTGAGTTCCCCTTCGCTATGTTACCTGCTCCATATTCAAATCTACTTTAGAGATCCACTGACTTACTGTCAGAGAATATGGCAAAATGCACTTCTGTGCTATTAATTTCCCAGCAAGAAATAAAACTAAGGGCTGGTATCAGACTAGTCTGATTTTCTGGTACATCTAAATGTAACCCGGTGTATTTCATGCATTGATTATATTTTAATACTAGTTTTTAAAAATATTGTTAAGCACTTCAAGATTCTGGATGTATCTTCTACTATTAGCCCTGAAGCCACCTTACACATGAATGACGGGGTGGTCATTTCTCCCCCCCATAAACTCTGTCAGCATGGCGACTGGGAGCAGATTGAGGAACATTTCTTTGATCCCATCCTCATGGTGTGAACCCCAATGGTCTTAGCTCTTAGCATTTTCAGGTTCATGTAAACTGTGAATCAAGCAAAGTCTGTGCTTGATCAGCAGAAGTTATATATATATATATATAATGAAATAAAAATAACAAAGAAGGAGAAGCCTCTCCATCATCTCGTGCACACAATGACAAACACAGGTGTGCCTGTAAAGTGCATTTTTCTTTATGGGGCCTCATTTGAAACCATTAATATCTGTGGAGTTTCTAATCCTTGCCAGTGGTTTAATAGCTTTTGCAAGATTAATGGCACCTTTGACGTGTGTCATGCTGTAGTTTCATTTGAGAAGATAGACATTTGTTTCTAACTCACCCAGATATTTGTTCTAACTTACCCAGACTGGTGTGCCAGAAGTATCAGTGTCCCAAACTGGTCTTTAAGAAAATATTAGTGTCCTAAGCTGCTTTTCTATAAGTGTCAATGTCCCAAACTGCTGTGTCAATGTTCCAACTGCTTTGCTAGAAGTGTCCCGTACTGCTGTGCTAGGAGTGCCTGTGTCCTAAATGGTTGTGCCAAGAGTGTCAGTGTCCCAAACTGTTTTCTTTGTTAGGAGGGTCTATGTTCTATCTACTGTGCTAGAAGTGTCCGTGTCCCAGACTGCTGTGCTAGAAGTGTCAGTGTACTAAATGGCTGTGCCAGGACCAGGAGTGTCAGTGTTCCAAACTGGGGTGCTAAGAGTGTGTTCGTGTCTCAGATACAGAATTAAAGAAATCTGCAGATTACATGTTATGATTTCACTCTGACTTCCTGGATCTGTATAATAGTACCGGGTAGGCATTCCCTGACCACCTCTGCAAAAGTTTGGATTTGTATATCAGTGCGCCCTGGGTATTATTTGAGGTTAAAGCTGAACTCCAGGTATTAATTATTATGCATACTTACACTGGTCAAGCTTGGCCTAATGTAAGTATGCATATGTCATACCTGATCGGCCGCTGGGCGTCCTGTAAACCAGAGTAGTAGCCAGAGCTATAGCAGTTATGACTGGGATATTGCTGAGCAGCTTCCCCTCTGCTCAACAAACACAGGGCTTGCTTCCTCAACACAGCAGCCATTCAGAGAACACCTAGGTTTTTTTTTTTTAAATCTGTGAATAGACATGACATAGGTGTTCTGTGATTGGACGAGGGGCGGATTGTGACATCACCGCCATTACTCCAATCAGAGATACTAGGTGTTCTCAACCTTTTTTCCAGGCTTTCGTTACCCAGAATTTATACAAAAAATATGGTTGTAGAAGGCCGATATCAAGTAACTAAATAACTTCTGTCTGAATTGTTAGCTTTCAAATAATTAATCAATCAAGAATAATGTAACTTCAGTGGTGGGCAGTTTTACTGGTATGTTTTCCGAGCTGTAAGGAGGACTTTTCATATTTTCCTACTTTCATTGTTTGTAAGAATGCAGTGATTTGGGTTATCTGGGTCAAACAAAAGCATTATGCCTTTTGCTTCTATTCTTGTTATTGTTGAAGTATTTCACTTTTGTTGTAGGAAGTAATGTCTTTGCAGTTTTTATATGACCACTTTATTTTTTGTTACTTTTCAAATGTTTTAAGATAGACAGTACATAAAGACTTTTTTATATTTAAAATAAAATAGTGCTTTTTCTTTCTACCAGAATCGCCAAGCTGTATTGTAGGGGCTTTTTAATGTACTTGTGTAGCTTTAGCTGTGTAAAGTACAAGAAAATAAGTGCTTGGAGGGAAAACCTACAACTGTTATCACCAGATAACAGTAATAAAAGGGATATCTTCCAACGGGGACACTGTTTACAATGACAACTGTCTAAGAGGACATTTACCGAACTCTGAAAGGATTTCCTCTCACTTCCCAATGGGAAAAACAAACTGGTGAGGTTTTAATAATTTACCATTTTATCCAAAATTTAAATGAAACATTTTGGATTTTAGATATACTTTAATAGTTGGGATATTAGATAATTTAGGTATTACTCTGACCTCTAGCTTCAACCAAGCAGGTAAATGCAGTTCCTATTTGTATGTGTCTTATTGGTAATTCTCACCAAGAGTGTCATTTAGGCAGGAGTTTTAGGTAGTTACTCGTACTTAGTTGTATTTACTGTTTTTTTTAAAGTGGAACTTTTTGCACATAAAAAAGACACAAATGAATGTAGCTCTTAGTCATTTATATATCATTAAGAAATCTATTTCTAAACAGTTTCAGTACCATTTGCATATGAAATGTTTATTGTACCCAAATCAATGTCACATAATTTTTTTTACACAGAGGTTTCTTTTGGTGATCTATAATATCCACTAGGTTTTTATTTTTTTCTATATAACAGAAAAACGTTTGGAAAAAAAATCTGTTGCCTTTTATTGTCTGTTATAAAACATATCCAATAAAATTGTAAGAACATTACAAACAACCCCCCTAAAAAATGTTGGAAAGTTTACACCTTAAGGCGACAAACTCAAAAATTAAATAATAAAAATAACTTCTATTATGTAAATAATCAATGACTGTGTACCTTTTCTTGTCATTGTTCTCCTCTAAATGCTCCAAAATTGTTCTCCAGCCACAACTTCCTGCCATAGGGTGGCTGCTTTTCTTCTGCATGGCCCCTATGGGAGCTGAAAAGTAGCCACCCTCTGTGCTAGTTCATGTGAAGGACTATATTGTGCTGACAGCGTGTCTTCTCAGTCTCCGCCCACAAATCCTCCCCCTCTAGACTCTGCAAGGAGCCTGGATCTCTTCAGCTCTCCCACACGAATATATGATCTTTGATTTCTCTCCTCCTGGCTTACCAAGGGGGGAAGTATGGGGGGAGGAGAGGAGATTCAGCATGTGAGCTGTCACCAGCTTCATACTTTCTTCTGAGTCTCAGCTCATATGCTGAATCTGGTCACACAGTCACAGAGGATACGGCTCCTACATTTGAAATAAAGTTGTTTTTCTGTGTAAATTGTTGTAAACTTGTTGTAGATTTGCTGTCAGTAGTTTTAATAAGTTAAAGCATTGCAGAGGAGATTACAAGCAGTGAAACTGTCACAGTGTGTATAAGGAGGAGGGAGATTCCTCTCGGCCTCATGGGAGTTGTAGGCAAAGAAAGTTGTGCGTGTGACCAGAATCAACGTGCACGGCTCTTTCTAAGGGACAGGAAGTGTGCCTGGAAAGAAGAGACACAGGAGCGAGCACAGCAGACTTTCTAAAGGGATAAAATTGGACGAATTTATTCTAAAACATAAAAAATTTGGCTTTAGAGAATGTTCATTGTGTAGATGCGCATAAGGAGAAAAAAGCTGAGGGTTTTGTGTTGCTTTAAGGTTATCATACACCTCAAGGT